GGAAATATTTTCACGGTTTGCAATAAAACGAGAGGAATATCCTTCTTGAAGAAGGGTATAAATTTGGGCTCTTTTTTAGATGGGGATATGTGCCATGATAATTTGGATGGTATGGGATAAAAGAGTATATTCTTAGATGTATTTTATATATAGTGTGTGTGTATTGTTTTGTTGTGTTTTTTTTTTGATGTGCTTATATGCTTTATTTTGAAGGGAGAACGATCCAAAGAAATAAAGACCAAATAAATAAAGTGGTGTTACACTTATTATTTAAATTACGTGAGCAGTTTATTTAGGCTTTTAACTATATATGTGTTGAATTTCATATGTCTAGCGTTTATATTATTAAAAATTGACTTTTTTATTTTTTCGTTTCAGTGATGCATTACTTTTGAGCGCCAATGTACGTGTGTAGATATCCTCAACGACTTCCGGGTCGATGGCCATGCTGTAATCATCCGCAAATTCTTTGTATAGGAACTGTACTTGTTTCAACATGAAGTTTGGATTCCGGAACGGCTCCTTGACATTGAATAGTGATGTAGTCAAATTATCCGAGTTCAAATGCAAGATACTGAAGGGTCCGATGGCGACGACAGACCAAATGGCATAGTTGCCTTTTGTTGCTTTAATACCACGAATAGTTTCAAAGAACGAGGATTTGACATCATCCTTCGCTATATATAGTTTGTCAAACTCGTTTGTAAGGATAACAACATAATTTTTCCAGTTGCTTTTCTGAAATATTAGATCGAAATCACTAGCAGAATTGATGGTATTGAGTCCGATATATTGGAGAGTGTCAAGGTAGAGATGAGTGCCTAGCGTTTGCCAGAATTCGTCTACGCTTTTTATGTTACTCTGCTCAAGAGATACACTATTCCGAAGGAGAAAAGACAGTAGAAATAACAGTTAGATTGCATGAAACCACAGATGCTTGAATGAAAGAAAACTTACTATATGCAAACATAGCCTTTGTATTGTAGTTGTTTCTGGATTTGTAGTTTTGCCAGAGGTCTGTGGCCCATATAACGCCACAAAATCTCCCCACTCAATCATATTAAGAAGTTGGATGTTTCGTTCTGTTGGATCTGCAAAGAAGTAAAGCGGTATCTCTGCTGGCGTAATTGCACCATTGACCATCCATTTTCTTTTCTTTTCCGTGGTAATAACTATGCAATCAAAAAAATTAGTGAGAATGAGCACGATGCAGAGCAAAGTCAACTCTGTATATTCTTACGTTCTTTCTTTTTCTCTCGAGTTCTGATGACGAGTGAAAGCACAAGTAAAAAATGAAATGACAGCGAGAAAAGCAGTACAGATTTGGTATATTCGAATCCAGTCGTGGTATTTACCCTGTTCTTCGCTCTTTAACCTCTCGATAAAGTTTAAGGTATCAATTATGGGACCACCCGGCATCCCCCATTCTTTGAGGTCATCTTTGGTTAGCTTGAGCTGGTAATGTCTTGATTCCGAAGAATAGTTAGGTGCTTCTCTTTCAGCTTTAAACCTTGTTTCAGCAAAAAATCAATAAGTTCCTCTGTTTCTAACTTTTCAACATCTTCAGCTCCGGTAAAACCATCTTTTTCTGATACTTCTATTACTGGTGTAGACATGTCATTGGGTTTTCGATAACGATAATTAGAACAAATTTGACGTGATGATCATTTTTATTACATGTAATGCAAAACAGATTCTGTTCTTTTGACATTAAAAGAGTTGAATGAAATTAAAGTGGGTGAAAAAAATATACAAATTCATGATAACTACTTTATACTTTATTAAAAACCATTCTTGATTGATACTTACCGTGTTTAGCTTTAAATCTTAAATACAGATTCTGATTTAACGGCTCATTATTTGATTTAACAGTTCATAACGATAAAAATGGTTCATGTATTAATTTCTGTATACCGATACGTATGTATACTTTTCTATACATGTATTACATATGTTGTAATTGGAAACGGGATATGGAATCGGCTACGACTAGAATTAGAGTAAGGGTAAAGGTTAGCGTTAGTGCTGGTTTAGATTAGTGCTGGCCGAAGGTTCTAAATCCGCACAATAAGTGGATTCCGAATCCACCAATATTCCATTCACACTTACAACAACAACACATTTATTATTATTATTATTTATATTCATATTCTTTCTAAAATTTACTTCTTAAATGCGTATTCAAAGTAAAAGATTGAATATACTACAGCAATATCTTCTATGTACAATAAATAATGTTCCAATATTCGTCCTGTTAAAGAGAATGACATTTTATTTAATTTATTGGAGTGTGATTACATATCATCTAAGTAAAATACAACGACAAAGGCTCCTTTTAATACATCGAATGCATGTCACCTAGTCAAACATTCAGACATAATCTTCATAACGTTAACGTTAACGCCATTAGATTCAATAACGCTGAGAAAAATGTTGATTTTTATTCCAAACTTACAATAGCGATAGGATTCGCTGGAAGTTTTTCCTCACGACGCTGTTTTGTCCGGCCAAGGACGAAATAAAGTATAAGTATAAGTCCATCGCATGATGTGATACATATGAATACTGCTGAAGAAATTATGTTGAAAGGTTGCGGACTAAATACTTTTGAGAAAAGACAAAAATATCTAATTGAATATTTCAGTATTGACGAAAAATGGATTACTTTTGTATACCTAAACTTATTATTGCAAGTGAGGCACCCTATAAGAATAAAAAAAGTATTAGTTTGTTTTATTCTAAGCATAGATTCTGTTGCAAATATGAAAACTACTATCTAATACCCATTACATGCTATTATAAGCGGCGAAACAGGATGTCTGAATTTTTGATTACGCGAAAATATATAAATAATACCTACAGTTATATCCATTGTCATAAAAACCAATGAAATTCCACGTACTTTCTTCAACCCTATTTCGTAGATAGAAAAAATATTTTAAGAATTGAACTATAATATCAAAAATAGCTATTCATTCATCTGAGCTTACGATAGATTTCATAGAATTGAGGTATGAATCCGACAAAAACAAATACACTAGGTACGATTCCCAGAATAGCTTTGAACCAGTTTATTCCTCTTCTTTGAGCTATCTTTGAATGGTGATTAAAGAGCATAAGTAATTGAAAGTTCGATGATTTAATATAAAAAGCAAATTCACCTTTGTCAAAACAACTCCAGCAAATTCAATCAAACTATATCCAAAAATCAAAATTCCAAAATATGCAAAACATTTGAATTGATATTTTCTAAATAAAATGTTGCTCTTATTGGCGTCAACATGATTGATATTCGTTGCATTATTTTGCTTTTCTAAATCAGCTTGAGCATTAATTTGATATTTTTTGTATCTTTGATCTTCATAGTATATACACTGTATGTAACATATTAGACTTAGCAAGCCAAAAAAATTCGACCTTATTATTAAAGGAATTGGTAAAGTCTCCAGGATAGAAAAAGCTCCGTATAAACAGCATCCAAGAGCCTTAGTTTAATAATTTGTTAATAATCATTTATTAATTTGCATTTACAAATCGATTTCATACCCATATGAGTACCATTGCTGAAGAAAACCCTTATAAATATAAATATGTAAAATTTAAACTCATAAATATTCGAAACAAATCAAGATACTTTAAATTTCATACCAACTGTGGTTTTTCGTTTCCAGTTTTTATATACTGGTACATAAAAAATAATATATCAAGAAGTTTTACTAAAAGATAAATCGAGTTTTCATATAAATAAAAAATACAATTTGATAACTTTTCACCTTGAGGAACTAACTGAACCGAAGAGAACAGAGTAGACAGTAGGGCAAATAGATTCGCAAGTAATACGTTCTCATGTCCGGATGCACCAGATTTATGAACATTGTCTGTAGAAGAAATATTGCCGGAAAATGTAACATTACTATTATTAGTATAGCTAACATGAGTAGTATTCATAAAATTTCTTTCAAGGAAATTCATTTTTGGAATTTTTTCGCTTTTAAGACTTTTACTTGTATTTAAGTACATGTACCTCCAAAGTAATTTTACACCACATCCAATATGTGCATGATGTGCATGTACATGTCGTGTTCTATAATTCATCAAATATCGATAACGATACGTACATGTAGTGGTACTCGTTTCGAGTATCCTAGCCATGGCGAAAAAAAGTGTTCGGATCACGTGGTAATCAATAAGAATCGTGAATTTTTTGATCTGCTGGTGACACAAACCAATGAAAATGCGTAAATTTATTATCAGCCCGGCAAAACAAATCCGACACAAGAAAATGAAAAAGCAAAAAAAGTAAAAAAATACGGGAAACAGATGCCTAAATCTAGCTTGATAGACTAATAAAAAATGTCGTGAAGGCAGTTCTATATATAATTTTGACTCCAGACTTACCCCTAACCCTAACCTTAAATTAATCTTTGACAATAATCTCTACTATCATAGAATTTTTCCGGATATACCCGAATATCACATGATCTGAACACTTTTTTTGCCATGGCTAGGGTACTCACTCGTTTCTGGACATTTCCTCACAACTTAAAATTATCACCATTTAAAGCGAATTTGTAATTTAAATTTAGTGGTGCCCATTCACTGTTCATTGTTTTACTGTTTTTGGATTGAAATAGGGTGGTGCTTATTCATAGTAGTTTACGGTATTTGGATTACACTGTTTTAAAAAGTCCTAGCGCTATAAATAGGACCGAACTGACTGACGGTTCGTTAACAGCCCTATTTATGTTTATGTTTATAGTCTATAAACATAAACTTCATGTAAAGTGACCTTTTACATATTAGACTTTTTCGTAGATTTCCGTATTTTTTTACAATATGTATCGAAATTCACAGGCGTATTATTTTTTATAGGATTTGTCTTATGTCAACACTCTTATTAAAAACCAATACTTTACTATCATATACAAATTTCAGCTGTGAGCTTAGGCTTATAAATTCTCAACGTTATGCTATAACTATTGTAAAATAAATCATTGTGGAATAATGAATCAACAATTCTTATATATTATATTTACAACGTTACAAGTATTATAAATAATCTCACATAATTTTGTTATTTAACTTATACAATTGCATGTTTGCTCACTAATTGGGGGAATTAGCTGAACAAGGATTGGAAGAGGAAATTAAATGATAATAAAAGATTGTGTGTATCTAAGTTCTATACCAACGTTTACTGAAATTTTTTATATCTGTAAAAAAAAACAAGATTCTTTTCCAGAAATTTTCAGAATCTTTCTAGAATTCAGAAAATTATTCAAAAAATTTAACCTGATAAAAATCTTAATACTAATTTTCTGCTGGCTTTTATCAGACTTAGATTAGGTTTAATAATATTTAACCTGGAAATAATTTAATACTGATTTTTAGTTAGCTTTTATTACTTATCTCAGATCTTTTTTAGAATTTTTCCAGATTAAATATATTATTTTGAAAATATTTAAGTCTAATAAAAGCTAGCTGAAAATTATTAATATTTTATTAGATTAAATATAAAAAATAGTTCAGAATATTTTATTAGTTTTTGTCAGAAAATAATTTTGAATATATAATATATTAAATTTATTTTTGATTTTATTTTATTTATTAAATATTCAAAATTATATAGAATTTACAATAAAATTTAATAATTATAAAAATAAAATTACTTTAGTTATTATTAAGTAAACTTTTAATTTTATTAAATACTATAAATTATATATATAAGCAAAGTTATAGCTCATATTTAGAGCTACAAATTGATATATTCCAATTTCAAATTGAATTTGAACCAGATTTGTATTTATATAATGATTTAGTTTGAATTTATTTGAATTTCAAATCTTTCTTGAACTCAAAATCTAATTCAAGTTTAGTTCAAATTTCAAATCAGACTCAAATTCAGGAAAAAATCCAAGTTCAATTTGATTTATAAAAATATTAATAATATATACAATTAGTGTTCCTATGAACCGAACTGAACCGGACTTTTGCCCGAGTTCGAGTTCGGTTCGAAATTCGAACCGAACTCGAACTGGACTTTGGCTTGAGTTCAAGAAAGGTTCGAAGTTCGAACCGAACTCGAATCGAACCGTTATACGAGTTCGAGTCTGGTTCGAGTTCGATTAAAGATCGGCATATAGTATCATATACCGATTTGTAGC